TAGATGAACACAATACCTGTATGTTATTTATTTTTAAGTGGTACTGAGGTTCAAACCCAGTGCTTCACTCGTGCTAGGCAAGCACTCTACCACTGAGCCACAACCCCAGCCCAGGGAAATCTACATTTTTAACAATCACTCCAGGTCTTTGGTTCTCAAATATGGCAATTTTACCCCCAGGGACACTTGTCAGTGTCTGGAGTCATTTTTGGTTGTCACAACTGGGAAGAGAAGTATCAATGGCATCTACTGAGTAGAAGTCAAGAATGCTACACACCCTACAATGTCACCCACAACAAAGAATTGCCCTGCCCAATATGTCAATAGTGACAAGGTTGAAAAATTCTGCTAGATGTAATTGTGATACCCACTATACATCAAGAAATATTCATTTAAACTGGGTGTGATGGTACATCCCTGTAATCTCAGCAGCTCAAGAGGCCAACATAGGATGATCACGAGTTCAAAGCCAGCAACCTGGAGAGGCCCTAAACAACTCAGTGAGACCCTGTCTCTATAAATAAAAAAGTCTAAGCACCCCTAAATTCAATCCCCAGTACCAAAAAAAAAAAGTAGTAAAGGAAATGATTATCTGGACAGAAGAGGATATTGAGAAGATGGATAAAACTTAGGCATTCTTTAGAAAAAACACTGGAGTGACCCTCACCTTCCCACATCTTATTCTTCCCACTTATCCTAACCAATGGGTTCCTTTTGACATCTAAGGTCCAGTTTGCCCATCTGTAAAATAATCAGATGAAATATGTACTACTACCCTGATTTTATGAAGATTTTATTTTGCCTAAAGTAACACAGCTAGGAACAAGTCAAATCACTAAATCTTTCTCTCTGGTAGCCCTTCTCCCTGTGAGAATGTACTGTAAGTAAAAAAAAAAAAAAAAAAAAAACAAGTCCTATTCACTAATAGAATATTAAAAACCAGATTCAGGAGCCAGGCATGGCATGTATGCCTGTAATCGCAGAGGCTCAGGAGGTTGAGACAGGAGGATCAAGAGTTCAAGGCAAGCCTCAGCAAAAGCAAGGCACTAAGCAACTCAGTAAGACCCTGATAAAATAAATAAAATACAAAGTAGGGCTGGGGATGTGGCTCAGTAGACGAGTGCCCATAAGTTCAATCCCTGGTAACCAACACACACAAAAAAGATTCAGTTAAAGTTACAATTCTGGGCTGAGGCTGTGGCTCAGTGGTAGAGCGCTTGCCTAGCATGTGTGAGGCACTGGGTTCGATCCTCAGCACCACATATAAAATAAATGCATAAAATAAAGGTCCATACATATGAAAAATATTTTTTTAAAAAAAGTTACAATTCTATGGAAATTCCAAACTTGTCCACACTATCAATATTCCCACTTCATCCAAGAAAAGTTAATAGACTCAGGATATCACCTCGACAAGAATTATCACTATTTTCTAAATGCTAAGCCAGAACCAAACTGATTAAATAAGCCACCTGAGCCACTATTAGGCAAGGTCCTATCTTGTATGTGCTATGGTCAGTGTTCACCTCAGAGTGGTATTTAGCCTATACTTAAAAGTGGAAGTGGCCAGGTGTGGTGGTGCACATCTGTAATCCCAGCTATCTGGGAAGCTAAGGCAAGAGGATCACAAGTTCAAAGCCAGGCTCAACAACTTACCAAGGCCCTAAGCAACTTAGTAAGACCCTGTCTCAAAGCAAAAAAATAAAAAAGGCTGAGATGGGGGGTCTAGGATTGCGGCTCAGTGGTACAGCACTTGCCAAGTATGTGTGAGGCACTGTCGATCCCTGACAAAAAAGTTTAATAACTTTTATCAAGACCTTATAACATAAAAAATAAAGAAGGGGCCGGGGTTGTGGCTCAGTGGTAGAGCGCTTGCCTAGCATGCGTGAGGCACTGGGTTCAATCCCTGGCACCACATAAATTTAAAAAAAAAATTAATAAAGGTATTGTGTCCATCTATAACAAACAAATATATAAATAAATAGATAGATAGATAGATAAATAAATGTATTTTAAAAAAAGGCTGGGATGGGGTTCAGCAGTTAAGCACCTCTGGATTCAATATCCCTGGTACCAAAAAAAAAAAAGAAAGAAAGAAAAAAAAAATCACATTTTTTCTGGCATCTCCCAGAATGAGAATTCATCACAAGATCCTCTTCTCAATGAGCAGGAACCTCTTAAAAATTAATACTATTTCCCACTCAAGCTCCAAATTTCCCCAAGCAGTACAACACCCCCCCCCCCCGCATCTTCTCATTTTCCTTCCTGGTGAAACATACAAGCCCCAAGAATACCACCCAAAGTATAAAATGAAATTACAGGATGCAGGACTGGGGGCATAAATCAGTGGTTCAGTGCTTACCTAGCAAGAGTGAGGCACTGGGTTTAACCCCAGCACCACAAGAAGCGGGGGTGGGGGCAGAGTAGAGAAAGAGGAAAAAAAAAAAAAAGACAGATTACCATATCTTAAAGGAAGTCCAAAAAGTAATTGCAATCTTATAAAATCAACTGACTTCCTGCTAGTTTAATAACTTTTATCAAGACCTTATAATATTAAAAAACAAGCACAGGGCTGGGGCTGGGGCTCAACCGTAGCCCACTTGCCTGGCATGTGTGAGGCACTGGGTTCGATTCTCAACACCACATATTAATAAATAAAATAAAGGTCTATCAACAACTAAAAAAACATTAAGCACAGTATAAGCCGAAAAGGGACCAAAAAATTACTAAGTTATGGTCCCTGTCTTAAGCAGCTCACCATTAAGTGAAAGAAGTGCACATCCTGACAATTCCAAATAAACATTTAAACAAAATAAACATTTTCCCCAAAGATTTTTCTCATATATGCCCTCACTTATTGAGAACTATTGCCAAGCTATGAAGCTTACTAGGCCTCCTTACTTCCAGCTGCCTACTAACATCTCCATCTACACATCCCACAGGTAACTTTACCTCAGCATATCAGACTGTCTTCCCTAACCTCTTTTTTTTTTTTTTTTTTTTTTTTTTTGGTGGTACTGGCATCTCCCAGAGTGAGAATTCATCACAAGATCCTCTTCTCAATGAGCAGGAACCTTTTTTTTTTTTAACCATATGATTTATTTTTATTAGTCATACATGACAGCAGAATGTATTTTGACATATAATACATACATGGAAGGTACATACATCATATTGTCTATTCTATTCTGCTGCCTAGCAGGAACCTCTTAAAAATTAATACTATTTCCCACTCAAGCTCCAAACTTCCCCAAGCAGTACAACACCCCCGCCATCTTCTCATTGTACCCAAGGATACTCTACCACTGAGCCACATCCCCAGCCCTAAGTTGCCCTAAGTTGCCCAAGATGCCCTAAGTTGCTGAGGCTGACCTCAAACTTGCAACCATGTCTTTGCATATGCTGTTTTCTGTAACTGGAATATTTTTTCTTTCTTGTGCAAGCTCCTATTCATCCTTCAAAGCCCACCTCAAGTGTCTTTTCCCTACAAAGAATCTCCCTACCCCTAGTGATAACAATATTCCTTTTTTTTTTTTTTTGTACAAATGTCTTTATACAGATATACAACACAGAGTAGTACAAAATTTCATCAAAATATGTGTTGGATGTCCTTGAGGAAAGATATTATTTCTAACCCAGTACCAGTTATATAGTAAGTGCTAAATAAATATGAGTAAACAGTTCACCTTCATACATCCTGGATCAATTTTCTCCAAATCTTATGAATTCCTAAATTATGCTGTATGTGAAATTCCAAATTTCATAACAACTGCTTTGGGGTTTCCAAGTTTGTTTAATTATATAAAGGTTGAATGAGTAAATTATGACTGAAAATCTATTGAAAACACATTAAAGACTTCCTTATTCATTAAGGAAAGAATGAAAATTCCCTTTATAATTCTAACAAGAGGAATCTACCTTTCCCTAGACTCTGTCTGATACCCTGAAAGCCTTCACATAGAAGTTAGTAAGCAGTATTACCATGAAGTCCAACAGAAGACATACCCAAAATAATTCCAAGCAATCCTAAATTAAAGGGAGGGACACAAATCATCTTTATCTTGGTGTACCAAACAAACAAACAAAAAAAATTTTTTTTAAGTTCAAATTTTTCTGGAAAAGAAGAACCGGGGACGATTTGATGATCCAGAAACATTTATTCAGGCCTGGGCCAAATTTCTACTGTCCCGATCGCCAGGTGCAGCACTCCTCAACTTCTGATGGCTCTCCTTCCCCCAGGGAACCTGTTCTCTCATTTCTTTCCCCACTGCCTTTGAAAAGGTTAGTTTACACCGAGTAACCCGAGTAACTTTCTATGTAAAAGGTAAGCTTAAGGCAGTCGGTGGGAAGACCGGCGCAGTGCTGTACACCTGTAATCCCAGCCACTTGGAGACTGACGCTGGAGGATTGAGAGTTCGAGGCCGGTCTCGGCAATTTAGAGATCCTCTCTCAAATTTTCAAAATAAGATCAGGGGTGTAGCTCAGTGGTAAAGGAAACCAGTCGGTCGGAGACTCAAGAGGTTAGATAGTGTCCCTTCCGGGACACCTGAAGACTTCGGACAGACTCGCCTTCCTCTATTCCTTCTCAGAGGTCTAGCCCCTGACCCTCACCACAGAGCCACGCACAAGCTGGAAGGACAGGCTTTCCAGGCAGGGATCGAGGTCAGCCCCGCGCAGGGATCAAAGGTCAGGGCCTCAGCTGTCCAGTGGCCCCTGCAAGGGCGGGACAGGGAAAGAACTAGGCCAGAACCGGGTGGTCAGAAGAACGAGCCGCTGGAAAAGAGAAGCTGCGTCTTGCTCGCTCAGCCACCCCCCGGGCCAGCCCTCCCCGCGGCACACAGCCTCAGCTGCGGTCCTCCCTCCTCTCCCCTCGTCACCCCCGTCGTCCCCTAGCAAGCGCAGGCCCCGCCCCCAGAGCCGCCTCTGGGCCGAGGCCTACTGTGGCAGGACCCGCGGGGGTTGGCCAGATTGGAGGACCCGACCAGGCCGGCGCTGCTTACCGAGCCCCCGGCTCCTCCTCCACCACCCGCGCCGCTCCCGGGCCCGCTCGCTCCCAACACCACCGACGCCGCCGCTGCTCCGAGCCACGGGCGCGCTCCCGACCTCCCCGACCCCAGTGCCCCGCGGGGTCCTAAAACCCGCTTTGCGATAGGTTCTTCCACGCCCGCTTCCTGAAGCTGACCTCAGACCACAATTCCCAGCAAACATTGCAAAGACTACAACTCCCGAAAAGCATCGCGAGAAAGAAATTAGCAAACATCTATAGAAGGGCTCCTGGTTTACCAATTGCAGTAGTGGTTTTTTGAAACATGGCCGACTTTGAATTCAGCAGTTCCTTCTAGGAATGAATATATTTAGAAACACTGGCAAGGTTTGAAAAGATGTACGTTTCAAGATATTTATTGTAGCTTTGTAAGTGAAACATTGGAAACACATTCATTCAACAAATAAATAGATATGTTGCCAGAGGCGGTGGCACAGCCTGTAAGCCCAGCTACGTAGGAGGCTGAAGCAGGAAGATCACTAAGTGGTAACTTAATGAGACCCTATCTCAAAATAATCATCATAAAATAAATTTGAGTAAATTGTCGTTTAAAGTTGTGCTTTTTTTTTTCCAGTACTAGTGGGATTGAATGAATCCAAGGGTCTTTTACCACTGAACTACAACCCCATCCCTTTTTATCTTTTTTTTTTTTCCATTTTAAGACAGTCTTCATTAAATTGCTGAGGCTGATCTCAAACTTGTAATCCTGCCTCAGTCGCACAGATTATAGGCCTGCACCACTGTGCTCCACCTCAAGTAAACTCTGTGATCTTCAGATTTCTCTTATGCAGATAAAAGATTAAAAGATGCACTTGTAGGGCTGGGGATATAGCTCAGTTGGTAAAGTGCTTGCCTTGTATGCACAAAGCCCCTGAGTTCAATCCCCAGCACCACAAAAAAAAAGCAGGGTGGGGGGGTGCCGGTTCTGAGTGATTAGTTTGTTTAAAATTCTAGAATTAGTAAGAGGAGAATAATTTGAACCCAGGTCCATCAGGAAAGAACTGGGGGCAGAAATATGCTGGGTATGGAACCGGGAAAGAAGTGAGGGGCCATACTTTTAATAGAATATAAATAAGAATGAAGAGGGAGCAGTAGCAAAAGCCTGTAATCCTAGCAGCGTTGGGAGGCTAAGGCAGGAAGATCTCGAGACAGCCTCAGCAAAAGCGAGGCACCAAGCAACTAAGTGAGACCCTGTCTACAAAATAGGGCTGGAGATGTGGCTCAGTAGTCGAGTGCCCCTGAGTTCAATCCCCAGTACCAAAAAAATAAAAGAGTGATGAGGTGTAAGAGGAGGATTTGTCATGAAGCAAATCCTAATAGTTTTGGAACACCAGTTAGAAACCCTCTTTCCAGCCTGACCCAGTGGCAAATGCCTATAATCCTAGCAATTTAGAAGGATGAGGCAGGAGGATGGCAAGTTTGAGGCCAATCTGGAAACCTAACTAGACCCTGTCTCAAAATAAAAATCAGGGGCTGGGGTTGTGGCTCAGTAGTAGAGTGCTTGCCTAGCATGTGTGAGGCCCTGGGTTCGATCCACATAAAAATAAATAAATAAGGGCTGGGGATGTGGCTCAAGCGGTAGCACGCTCGCCTGGCATGCGTGCCGCCCGGGTTCGATCCTCAGCACCACATACAAACAAAGATGTTGTGTCCGCCGAAAACTAAAAAAAAAATAAATAAATTCTCTCTCTAAAAATAAAAATAAATAAAATAAAGTTATAAACATAAAAAAATTAAAAGATAAAAATAAAATGGGTTCAGTTCCCACCACCGAAAAAACAAAAACAGTAGCCCTCTGTCCAACTGAAAGAATGAAAGAACAGTGTTCCATACCTGATTTCCTTTCAATAAAACTTTGTTTCACACCTACTGACTACCCAATTGGTGAGTAGTAAAAAGAAACAAAGCAAGTTATGATTCTAAAATTATATTGTAACAAAGTGGTAGATACACACACACACACACACACACACGCATATATACTATATATATATATATATATATATATATATATATATATATATATATATATATATATACTTTTGTGTGTGTGTGTGTGTGAGGGGAGGTGGGTACTGGGGATTGAACCCAGGAACACTTTACCACTTAGCCACATTCCCCGCCCTTTTTATTTTTTATTTTGAGACAGGGTCTCCCTAAGATGCTGAAACTGGCCTCAAACTTGTGATCTTCCTGACTCAGCCTGCCTTCACTGGGTTACAGGTATGGGCTGCCACACCAGGTTACTCTTAAATGTTTTAAATAGCGGAGAGTGAATTATCAAGGGCAAACTTACAAAGGGCTCAAGTTGTAAATGCCCTGAAAATTTACAGAAGGGAAAATTTCATGTCAACTTCCAAAGACTTCCTGGAGAAGGTGAAGATGAAGTGAGGTGGAAGAAGAGAGAAGAAAAGAAAGGGAGAAGGTATGAGAGTGAAGCAACATAATACACTGCCCACACTTATGTCAGGAAGTAAATTCAATACATATTCACACTAGGGTAAATTTAGGAGATCATATACTAAGTTTAGCACACAACCTCTGGAACATTGTAGAAATGGATTCTAGGTCAGCTACCTTCTAACCCTATGACTTGGTACAATTACTTAAGCTCCCTGTGCCTAGTGTCCTCATTTGAAAAATGAGAATAATAAGGCCTGTGTCATATTGGTTTGGTTATCTGGCAGAGCTCTTCCCTTCTTATTCTGCAGAATTCTTTGGACTCTTAGGCTAGACTAAATGGAAAAACATGCCCTGAACAGTCAGAGTTAAGTGAAGGCACATTATCTGATTTTGGCCAATAGCTATAGCCTCCAAGAAATTTGGCTTTTGATCAAGTGATCTAGAGATGAAAGGATGATCAGAATTTATTCATAACAGGTTCTATCCTCTAGTGCAGCATGTAAGTCATGTAGCATCAAGGACCACATTACCCTGATTAGATGGTCCCCACTGAAAAACAATCATGCTTCCTATTTCTTGATCTTCAGTGAGTGTCTTAATTACTGTTCATTGTTCAATCCTGTTCTTCCTTTCTTCAGCAGATGCTGTAAGTTCCTTATGTTCTTCTAATTAATAGTACTTTAACTTAAAATAGCCATGAGCTATTTCTGTAACTTTTAACCAAAAGATTCCCAAATGATATCACACACACAAACATGTGCCCACATAAGCTTACTCATTCCTTCAGCAAACATCAATTGAGGTTTTTCTGCCAGACTCTACTCTAAAAATGAAGATAGGGTACAAAATGAAATAAATCCTATGGCAGCTAGAAGCAACTGGAGGAGGAGTAATTTGGGACAGGAAGATGATGTTTAGGATATGTTGAGATTAAAGTGTGAGACATCCAAGAAGAAATATTTAGTAGACGTTTAGATACCCTTTATTGGAACTCAACAGATATCTGTGCTATAGATAAATATTTTGGAGTCGTTGGCTTCCATGGAATGGATCAAGCCATAAGGAAGGAAAGAAGATAGAGAGACAGATCAAAATGTTATTGGGGAATGGAAGGAGGGTGCTAACGTTTAATGTGGTGGCACACACCTGTAATCGCAGTAACTCAGGAGGTTGAGGCAGGAGGATAGAGGATTCAAAACCAGCCTCAACAAAAGTGAGGTGCTAAGCAACACAGTGAGACCCTGTCTCTAAATAAAATACAAAGTAGGGCTGGGGACGTGGTTCAGTGGTCAAGTACCCCTGAATTCAATTCCTGGTACCAAAAAAAAAAAAAAAAAAGATAGTGCAATATAAAAAAAGGAAGAAACCCAGAGGTAAAAGATGTGCAGTGGAACCCACAGGAGAAACTTTCAATAAGGAGGTTGTCAAGCAGGGCACACTGGCACAAGCCTGTAGACCCAGCAACTGGGAAGGCTGAGACAGGAGGATTGTAAGTCCTAGGCCAGCCTGGGCAAGACTTTGTCTCAAAAGGTGGGTTTGGGAATGTAACTCAGTAGAGTGTTCCTGGGTTCAATCCCCAATACTGAAAAAAAATATATAAGAATTTAAAAATCTAAATTTGTGGGTGTTGCTGAAGAGATGACAAAAAGATTCTGCCTCTAAATATGTTGTTGTTGTTGTTGTTGTTTTCTTAGCAAATTCCTGGTTTTGGTTGATAGAGTAAAATGGCTTGGCACACTAACTCTGGAGCCAGAATGCCTGTGGCTGAAATCCCACCTCTACTGCTTAATACCTGTGTAATGTTTTGTTTTGTTTTGTTTTTTTGAGGGGGGGGGGGTGGGTAGCTAGGGATTGAACCCAGGGCCTTGTGTATATGAAACAAGCACTCTACCAACTAAGCTATATCCCCAGCCTAATACCTATATAATCTTAATCAAAGTTACTTTGAACTTGTGATCCTCCTTCCTTAGCCTCCTGAGCCGCTGAGGATTACAGGTGAGGTTGAAGTTTTTCTATTTTGTTCAAGGTCTACCACTCAAAGCCTGCCATAAATTAGGTGCTCAATAAAACTTTCAAAAATAAATGAGTAGTTGGGGATGTAGCTCAGTGATATAGAGTGCTTGCCCAGACTCGGTGAGGCTGTGGGCTCAATGCCTAGTACTGGGAAGAGAGAGAGAGAGAGAGAGAGAGAGAGAGAGAGAGAGAGAGAGAGAGAGAATATGAATGAATATAAATGAATAAACTGGACTCAAAGAGCGAAGCTTAGAAAAGAAAAGCCTTAGGAGATGGACGCTTTTAGGGGCTCAGTGGAGCCCAAATCAGGACTAGACTGAGCTACACTGCGGCTAGGGGAAGCTGGCCTGAGAAGTCAGAGGTTGAAACCTTTGGGAGCTGCGGAGGCTCCTCCCCCTGCGGGCGGGTCGCGCCAGCCGGGCGTGCACTAGAGCAAAGCCGAAGCTCCCCTAGCGGGGCGGGGTGGAGTCTACACTCAGGCCTGTCCTCGGCCCACCTCATCCACGCGGGACGGAAGTCTCAGTCCGGCTTTCGACTTCCCGGAGGACCGCGCACCGAGAGCCGGGCCTCGCTCCACCGGGTGGCGGGGCCTAACGTGCTACGGCGCGGCGGCAAGATGAAGCGTGCGGGGACTCTGCGCCTGCTCTTAGACCTTAGCAACTTCAGCGGCGCGGCCCGGCTCCGGGAGTTGCTAGCTGGGGACCCAGCTGTCCGAGTCCGCTGCAGCCCAGACGGCCGCCACCTGCTGCTGCTGCGACCCCCGGGGGCGCCAGCCCCGCAACTGCTGGTCGCCGTACGTGGATCTGGCGCGGAACTGGAGCGGGCCTGGCCCGAGGACCACCCTTCACCGCTAGACGCCTTCTTCCTGCCTTGGCCAGCGCGACCGGCGCTGGTCCTAGTGTGGGAAAGTGGCATAACCGAGGTGTGGGGAGCGGGGATGGAGCTTGGCTGGCGACTGCTGCAGAGCACCGAGCTCTGTCCAGGCGGTGAGGCCCGCGTGGTGGCCGTAGCGGCTGTCCGAGGCCGCCTGGTGTGGTGCGAGGAGCTTCAGTCTGGCACTGAGGACCCCATAGAGCGGCCTGTAGCCGCTTTCAACTATCGCGTGTGCTTCAGGACCCTGGAGCCCAGCGGGGAGGCAGGCACAAACCTGGGCCGCACTCGCGTCCTGCTGCACCACTGCCCTCCTTTTGGCCTGCTGGCCTCCCGCAAGGATCTCTTCCTAGTGCCCACTGCCACCACCTGGTCTGGTGTAGCCCACATTCTGCTCATCTGGAGCCCAAGCAAGGGCAAAGTGATAGTGTCTGCCCCATGCCTTGGCCTCTCTCACAGTAAAATCCTGAATCCCAGACAAGGGGACACCTGGGACTTCAGGACCCTGCTCCGAGGCCTTCCTGGGTTGCTGTCCCCCAGAAAGCCATTGGCTGTACATTCCTGGGCCCCAGCTCCTCAAGGCCTTCTGTTGCTTGATTTCAGGGGCACTGTGAGGTTAGTGCAGTCCCACGGTGGTACTCGTGCTGTGGGCACCTTGCAGGAGGCACCTGCAGGCCCCGAGGGGTCTGCAGCCCTGGGAATATTCCATGGCACTCTGGCCTGTGTGCTGGGCAACACATTGGAATTGCTGGACATGGGCAGTGGGCAGCTGCTGGAAAGGAAGGTTCTAAGTACAGACAGAGTATATTTGCTGGAACCTCCAGCCCCTGGCGTGAAGGATGAGGAAGAGATGGATATTGGAGGAGGTCTTCGCATGCTTTCAGCCTTGGGTCTGTTTTGTGTAGGTTGGGAAGCCCCCCAGGGCCTTGAGCTGCCTTCAGCCAAGGACCTGGTATTTGAGGAGGCCTGTATATACTACCAGCGTCGGAGCCTACGGGGTGCCCAGCTCACCCCAGAGGAACTGAGACACGACAGTACCTTCCGAGCACCTCAAGCCTTGGCCTCCATCCTCCAAGGCCACCTGCCACCATCTACACTGTTGACTACACTGAGGGCCGAGCTTAGGGATTACAGGGGTTTAGAGCAGCTCAAGACCCAGCTGGTGGCTGGGGATGATGAGGAGGCTGGCTGGACTGAGTTGGCAGAGCACGAAGTAGCACGCCTGCTGAGGACTGAGTTAACAGGAGACCAGCTGGTCCAGCTCAACACCATTTTCCAAGCCCTTCCTACAGCAGCCTGGGGTGCCACTCTTCGGGCCCTGCAGCTCCAGCCAGATGGAAATGGCAGGCTGAGGTCCCAAGCTCTCCCTGATGTGTGGAAGAAGGTGCTAGGGGATACAACAGCTGGAAAGGAAACACCCAATGGAATACTGCCCCCATTTGAACTCCTTTGCCAATGCCTTTGCCAGCTGGAGCCACGATGGCTACCCCCATTTGTGGAACTGGCACAGCAGCAGGGTGGGCCAGGGTGGGGGGCTGGAGGCCCTGGGCTGCCTTTGTATCGCCGAGCCCTGGCAGTGATAGGTGAGGAGGGGAACAGGCCTGAGACATTGGAGCTGGAGCTGCTTTTGGGCAGTGGGCGGCCCAAAGCTGTGCTGCAAGCTGTGAGTCAGCTGGTGCAAAAGGAGCAATGGGAGCGGGCTCTGGAGGCTGGCCTGGCCCTTGGCCCCTCCAGCCCCTTGCTTCGAAGTGAGATCTTCAAACTGCTTCTAGCCCAGTTTGCCCAGCACCGCCAGCTCGATGCTCACCTCCCCCTCCTTTGCCGCCTGTGCCCACCAGAACTAGCTCCAGATGAGCTCCTACTTCTACTGCAGACACATCTCCCAGATGAAGTGGGACCTCCTACCCCATTTCCTGAGCCTGGGTCAGAACCCCCTCTCACAGTGGGTTTGCTCAAAGCCCTGCTGGAGCAGACTGGAGCTCAAGGACGGCCCTCAGGCCCAGTTCTAAGCCTTTATGAGGATATCCTATGGGACCCAGGCACTCCACCCCCGACCCCACCTCGGGGACCTATGTCTACCCTTCAGGTATCAGATCACCCAGGACTGGAAGTGTGGGTACCATCTGGACAGGGCCTCTGTGTGACTGACATGGGAAATCATTTGTAGGACACGGTGATCAGGGTAGGGTACCTAGGAGTTAGAGGGGGCCAGGGTAGGACCTGTGTGTGCGATATTCTTCTGTCTTCTGGAGAAATTTTTAAAATATATATATATATAAATATCCAATTTATACATAGTTTGTGTTTTTTGAATAGCTGAGAGTCTCAGAGGATTGTGGGTTACAGAGGGAGCAGATGAATCTGGATCTCTTGACTGAAGCAGCTACTTTCAATTGTGAAGATAATTGACATTATGAGTATTTTTTATGTGCCAGGTACTCTGCTGGTCTTTACATAATCCCTCTTCCTCGATAGAAAAGTACTGATATTATCCCTATTTTCCAGGTGAAGAAATAGAATCTAGAAAGACTGAATGACTTGACCAAGCAAGTCAACTAGAAAATAGCAGCTGTCACATTTGACTTGCCTCACTGTATGGCCCAGTACCTCTGGCCTCTTTGGGCTTGAATCTGCTCCTCATCCCTGAATCAATACTAGCCCATGGTAGACAGTGGACTCTGCGGAGCTACACCTCTTTTCCCTGGGACTCTTCCAAGTAAGAACTGTGATGGGCCCTAAGCCCACGCTTGTTTCCCCCAGGATTCCATGAGCAGCCCCTGATTTTAAGGAAAATATGATACAGTCAGAGAGCTACCTCAGAGCCCTCTGACTCAATAATGAGTCACTGGGAGCACAGCTACTTGGAGGGCCCCACATTTTCACTGACTCCTTAAACCAAGAAATAAGAGCATCTGCAGCACAGATTTCTACTTGTCTGGACTAGATGTCCAAAGACTTCTTGACCCTATGTCCATTTCTACCCGTGACCCCTCTGCCTAGTTCTGGATTAGGGTAGGCCCTGGATGCTGCCACTCAACATCATCCTAGGCCCCTGGCAGGGACTAGGGTAACAACTACCACTTAGCTTTGTCCTCAGCTAGGACCTACAGTTTAGATTCTGCTCTGCCTCATTCTGGGCTTAACAGTAGATTCAAGTTCATATGGGTCTGTGGATGGTTTTTTAGATTGTCAGGGGGAGAGGAGTAGCCCTACAGTCTTGCCCATGATTATTGTTATTTCCCCAGCCTTGCGGAGGTCCCAAGGTGGCTCATCTGTATGGCCAAATCTGAGATGGCTTCTTAGCCTCACTGAAGTCCTAGGATGACAATTTGGTCTTATCCAAGGCTTGAATGGCTCTTGTCCTGGGACTCAAGCTAGCCTGTCTACCAACACCTGTAGTTCAGCTATTAGCCTTAAAGCTGCTGCTTCTCCCTCAGCTGTCACCTAGCCCCTTCCTAGTATGGGAGGGGTTCCTCCTCTTCTTGGTCTTGAAGCTGGGAAGTTGAAGGTGACACAAGGCTGGAAGCTGTTTTCCTGTTCATGATCCTACTGAAATATGTTTGCTTCTCAGCCTGAGATTTGTCTTGGGCCTCCTGCTGTGCCAGGAGGAGAAAGAATTATACTCAGTGGGCCCCTGGGGGCATAGGGAAAGGGCCAAGCTTTTCTTTGAGGAAATTCCTCTGAGTCACCCATTAGCAAGGCCTCAGCATGGACACTGCCCAACCTGGCAGCTCAGAGGGGAACTGGTGGCCTTAAATGGCTGGTAGCTTTTATTCTACCTTTACAGGCTGATATTGGATTATGCTGGTCCTTGCTCATCCTCCACCTCCAGTGTGGAGGATGCCAATGATCCCAAACCATACCTTGGGACTTTGTAGAACTCTAGGGTTGCAAATATGGTCTGAATGGGTTTGGGTGGAGCATGTGAGAGGGCCATCAAAGTGATGATTCATTGTGGTCTTCCTGAGTGAAAGTCTGAATAGGTAGATAGAGATCCCAAGTCTGAGGTCTTTGGTTGAAGGGTGGATCCCAGGACAAGATGTTGGGACTTGTGCTCACTTCAGCAGCACATATACTAAAACTGGAACAATACAGAGAAGATTAGCATGGCGTCTATGCGGGGATGACACACAGATTCATGAAGCATTCCATATTTTTAGTTCATTTATTTTGACTGTGATTTATTTGGAGTGGAGGCCCCTGTTTTTTAAGAAAACATGTGGCTCAAGCGGTAGCACGCTCGTCTGGCATGCATGCGGCCCGGGTTCGATCTTCAGCACCACATACAAACAAAGATGTTGTGTCTGCTGAAAACTAAAAAATAAACATTAAAATTCTCTCTCTCTCTCTCTCTCTCTCTCTCTCTCTCTCTGTCTGTCTGAAAGAAAGAGGGAGAGAAAGAAAGAAAGAAAGAAAGAAAACATGTCAGGTAGGTTGCCTAAAAATAAAGTGGATTAAAAAAAAAAAAGATGTTGGAGCCTATGAAATGCAAAATCTAGGAACTGAGGTCCTTGACCTTGGGTACCTGAGAAAAGGGTGGCATTCTGGGGCTACAACTTTTGAGTGGTCCCATTGGCTTAAGGAGGCTAAGTCAGAAGGATCATGAATTTAAAGACAACCTCAGCAACTTAGCGAGACCCTAAGCAACTCAATGAGACCCTCTCTCTAAATAAAATACAAAAAAAAAACACTGGGGATGTGGCTCAGTGATTAAGTGCCCTTGAGTTCAATCCCCAGAACAACAACAAAAAAAAATTTTTTTAGTAGTGGGCAAGACTTCAGATCCAAGGTCCCTGTACAAAAGAAAGTAGGTTCACATGGAGAACCTCATGGAGCTCAGAGGTGAGGTACAACTGAGAATGCTTTCCTGCCCTCAGGCCTGCTGCCTACAGTCCTCCCTGTCACCTACCCAGGAAACTCATAGACTCTTTTCCCTTCTCTACCATCCTACAAGGGTCAGAGGTCAGAGCCCCACCCCTTCTTCCACCTGTGGCCTGAAAAAAAAGTAACAAGGACAACTCCTGCTCTCCTCCCAAACCCCAACCCATCCTTCTGCCTAAATGTCACTGAGAATTTTAGTAGCTTTCTAATTGATATTTCTATATCCTCAAGTCTAACCTTGATTACCCAGTGTTTTAGTCAGTTTTTTACTGCTGCTTAGAGTCATAGGACCTGACAAGAACAATTAGAGGAGGAAAAGTTTATTTGGGGGCTCACAGTTTCAGAAGTCTCAGTTCAGAGATGGCCAACTCCATTCCTAAGGGCTAAAAGTGAGGCTGAACATCATGGTAGAAGAGTGTGGTGAAGAAATGCAGCTCAAGACATCACACCAAGCAACAGAGAGAGAGAGAGATCTCCAGGACAAAATATAAACCCCAAGGGCACACCCCCAATGGACTCCCCTCCTCCAGCCACACCCTACCTGCCACTCAGTTAATCCCTATTAGGAGATTAATTTACTGATTACATTAAGGCTCTCATAACTGAATCATTTCACCTCTAAACTGTCTTGCATTGTCTCACATGTGAGATTTGGGAGACACTTAAACTCTAACACCCAGAGTATTTAAACAGCAAATAGGACTAAGATCAGAATCTACTTCAGTATTCAAATTAGAGGGCAAACTCCTACAAGGGTATTCCTTCCTTTGTGTCTAGTCCTGCCTTTCTTTCCAGTCTTCTTTCCAGCCTTTCTTCTTTGATATTGAGATCATCTAGTTATTTGTTTGTCTTCCTAATTAGCATTCAAGTTCCTTGAGGGCCAAGAACATGGTTATTTGTATTTTTGTAACCTCAACCTGTATCACAAGGCCAAGTTTATTATAGGTTCAGTTAATGTGGATCTGACTGATTCCTACCGCCTGGGTGAGAAAAAGGGAATAGGCTCTGGGCTTTATAGATTTTTAGGATTTCCTCCCTTTTAACCATAGATAGACTGATTGTTTGGTTGATCTAAACCTGAAACTGATAGAAGGTAGATGGATCTGAAAAAAGAAACAGGTCAGACAGGCGGGATGGCGGATGCCTATAATCCCAGGACCTCAGGAGGCTGGGGCAGGAGGATGGCAGTTTCAAAGCCAGCCTCTGCAAAAGCAAAGTGCTAAGCAACTCAATGAGACCCTGTCTCTAAATAAAATACAAAATAGGACTGGGGATGTGGCTTAGTGGTTGAGTGCCTAACTTCAATCCCCAGTACCAAAAAAAAAAAAAAAAGAGAGAGAGAGAGAAAGAAAGAAAGAAAGAAGCCACCTAGAGCAGTGGTGGGGGCAGAAAAGCCACTGAGTCAGGACCATTCTTAGGAGTTGGGGTAGAAGAAAGGAACGTAACTGGTACTACCCAGGGACCCACATCCCCAAACTAGGAGAGAAAAAGGAATGGGAAAGCCTGAATGAACAGAGATCCAGGGAAAGAATGGGCATCAGAGGGAACCTATCCTTAGGAAGTGTTCCACATTATACAGTTGCACAAGAGTTTGGTTCACACTGACCTGTGATAAGGAAAAAAGAGGAACAGTTAGGCATGGAGGCAGCTCTAGATTCCCAACTCCATAGGGAGCCACCTCACACTGGAATGCTTGTCACGCTTACTTCATCAGGGTGGGAGTGAGTGTAGTGGTGTTGGAAGGCCTCAAAAATCCTCAGAGTGGCTCCATGATTGTCCAGGGCCATCTCAGCCTCTTCTTAGGCACAGGCTCCCCCTGGTGTTCACTCTTGACACTGCCAGCTCATTAAACATGCAATTACTACCCTTCTCAAGCAAGGACAGAGGAAGTCTCTAGAGGTAGTAAGTAAATCAAGGTTCTCTGAGGACACAGAAAAGTCAGAAGAGAGTTCAGGAAGCACAACCATGAAAAGGGGAAGGGATCCAGATCTTGCACTAAGAAAGTGTCATCTAGAAGAAAAGAAACCTGAGCTGCCTGGATTCTTTTCTCCAAAATTGAAAGTGGGGAGGAAGTCAAGGACACAGAAGTTTCCTGGGAGGGCACAATGCAGCCACATTTTCTATGAATTTTAAATACAAGAATGTCAAGACTTATTCAAAAATCAATAAAGTCTTATATTATGCACAAAATATGAAATGAAGGTGAATCTCCCTTGAATAAGGGAGGGCTAGGGAGGGAGCTTAATGGCAGAGCCCTTGCATAGATAGCATTCCTGAAGACCTAGATTTGACCTCCAGCATCACAATAATTTTTTTTTTTAGAATCACAACTCCGAGGCTAGTGGGCTATTTGAACTATAAGCTGCATTATTATTGTGTGAGACCACAACTTAGCTGGTAAACAAAAATTAAGGTGGGAAAAGAGGCTGAACCAAGCCATAAGGTAAGGGCTGAGGGAACAGAATCACTCACCAGTTATAAAGAAAAACTTAACATTGTTTCTCCCCTAATTCCCCAAGGGAGGGCTTAGGCCTGGTCCTGGCTCCAGAGGTCTCTACACAGGACACAAGCAAGAACAAAGGCAAGGAGAGTTGGAATCAGAGATGCCTAGGATGGAACTGGACCAGGAACAGAGAAGGAGAGGAGATAAATTGGAATGGGGACAAGGGTCTGGGAGGGAAAGGCAAGAAAACGTGTTTGCTCTGAGGAGCAGAGGAGGCTCTCAGTGTAAATGTTGGGAGAAAGGAGCAAAAAGGGTGTCGCCCTGAGATCTCTCACCAGAATTATAGCCAATATATAGAGCCCATAGACCAGCTGGATTAGCTCACATCTCCCAGAAGTTTCTATTTTTCTAGGAAATAGAAGACAAGGGAAGGAGGGGTTTTTTTTGTTTGTTGTTTTGGTACTGGGGATTGAACTCAGGGGCACTCAACCACTGAGCCACATCCCCAGCCCTATTTTGTATTTTATTTAGAGACAGGGTCTCACTGAGTTGCTAAGCGCCTTGCCATTGCTGAGGCTGGTTTTGAACTTGGGACCCTCCTGTCTCAGCCTCCTGGGTTGCTGGGATTACAGGCGTGGGCCACCACGCCCAGCAAGGGAAGGAATTATGAGAAGCTAAGGAAGCAGGAGTGAGATGGTGGCCTCCACTGTGAATGAGGACAGTCCACCTCATTCTGGGCCTCCCTGAGCCTCTGGGACCTTCTAGAGGTTCTGGTGCTGCAGACTCTTCAGGTCTTTAAGTTGTCAATGGACCTTTATTTTATTTATGTATATGTGGTGCTGAGAATCGAACCCAGTGCTTCACACATGTCAGGCAAGCACTCTACCACTGAAGCACAATCCCAGCCCTCTTCAGGTCTTATATTGGTTTTAGTTTCCTGGGATTTAGCAATCATCCAAATTCCAAGGTGATATGCAGTCCTTTTAATTTCTATTATTTTTGTTTAATTCTGGAGAAAAGTGGGAAGAGCTAAGCATTTCCCTCACCCTTAACATCCCCAGGCAGGTTCTAAGAATAACCAGGAGCCTCAGATTTGCAGGGCAGGTCTTCTCCAGAAGAGGTGAGCAGAGCCTTGATGTTGAGGGATGAATAGGGTTCTAGAAGTCACAGTGGGGAGAAAGAAGGGAAGACTGAGGGCAAGAATTGAGGAGGAACTCAGAGATAAGCAGACTAGGCCCTGGGCCAAAGCTGGGGGCAGGATATCTTAGACCAGGATATCTAAGATAGTTGCCCAGAGGGAAAATTAGGTGACTGCTCATCAAAGACTAGATTGGCTCATTCTCAGAACTCTTTCAGAGATAATGGAGGGTCCATATGGGGTAGGAGATTTATCGGGAGTTTGGTAATTGGGGAGGGAGACGATCAGTAACCAGTTCCCTTCTCTACTACACTGGTCAGATCCTAGTGAGTTCTGTAGGAAGTAGTAAATGTTGGGAAAGGGAAAGACATTATCTATCCTTTGCTGTGTTTGAGGGAAGGGCTGCTTTGAAAGAGGAGATGAGAACAGTTCCAGTGTAGAGAGGTTTGAGGGGAAGTCAGAAAGAGCAAAGAAGACTGATTAGATTTCCTAAATATTTGTGGTGTCACCAATAAAGGAAATAAGTTGTTATAGAATGTACATCTTCCTAGTTGGTTCCAGGAGAAATTTAACCAGAGCTGAGAATGAATTCTTGACTCCACGTTTTTCACTTTTTCTTTCTTTCTTTCTTTTTTTGATACTGGGGATTGAACTCAGGGGTACTCAACCACTGAGCCACATCCCCAGCCCTATTTT